TATGTATATATATATATATACACATTTGTTTTTAAAGATATAATATACATATACACATATATGTATGCATATATATTAACATGTATACATATATGTATGATAAAACCATAATATAATTTAATGATTTTGTACCTCAATAAAATGATTTAATTGATCAAGTGCGAATGTGTATAAAGGATGTTAAAAATAATTTATATATGTTTCTATACATCATGTATAATTAATAAGTTATAATTAGAGAACTGTAGCAATTTCTCTGCAGCCAGAATGTACTAAATCACTGCTAAATACATTTTGAAATTCCTAAATACACATCCTAAACTTGTTTGGTGTGCTGGTTAAACTTTATTAATCAAGCCAAGTGTGTCAATCAGAGTCAACCAACACCCCAGGATTAAGATAGCACCTGATCTTCGCATAGCATCACTAACTGGTAAGTAAATACCATGTACCCTGAATACACTTAATAATGGGTACATTGTTTAGTTATATCATATCACATGCGACTGACATCATCACAGCTGCTGATAGCACCCCGTGCTTTTACCGTGGCCAGATTAGAAGAAACATTCCAAGTTAGTTTTTTATTTAGCAGTAGATATAGGCAGGAATCAATACTTTTTGTTGGCAATGTGCATACGTAGATGAAAACAAAAAAAGAAATTTAAAATTGAAAAAATTTTTAAATTAAATGAATATAAGCGATCTTTTCTAATATTTACACATCGTTAGAATAAGAGACAAACACATAACATTTGATAGATTGCACAGAGAATAAAATAAAATATACTGTATTTTATTCATGTAATATAGTATATACTATCACATTTAAAAGCAATTTCAATGGAGTATTCTAAAAAATTTCAATATGATTCTTTTAATATGACAATGAGCTACAGATATTTTTTTTCTTTTTTACATAGGACACAGACACAGACATTTGAATACATTAGAATAATTTGCTAAAGGCTTGAATTAGTGCTGAAATGAATGCAATCTTCAGACACGAATTATAAATGTGTTGACACAGCAGTATCAGCAGTTTGTGGCCGAGATACAGCAACAAGCATCGATAGTTTGGTAGGTATAGACAGAATGACAGAAAACTGGTGAAAACTAGAGATTTTTAGACAAGTGAGATAGGTTCTAGTAGGAAGAGCATTTATTTTTATGTCAAAGTATGCATAATTGCCTGCTACTATATTTTCACTGATAATATAAGTATATGAATTTTATGGTTATATTATCTTTATAAATATTTGCACTATAAGTATAATTTTATTTTCGTATTTTTATTATCAATGAAAATATAATTTACATAATACCACCCCTCTAGCAGCAATTTTTTTCTATTATTAAAAGATAAAGGATTTTGTGCATGTAAAATAGATATATTTATAGATTTATTTTATTTTAAATCCCTTCTCACTTGTCAGTAAATTTAAATAGTTTTTTCTTATATATTTCATGAAACCTATCACTTTCTTTTAATCTGACATCTCTATACTAAAGATACTTTTTTCTACAAGACGCAACGATTACAGAATACTAAAGTAGTCTTGTCAAAATACAAACTCTATGCATTTCTAGAGGGGCTGAGAGCAGAGCAATGATGCCAAGACGATGATGTTATGCTTGTCTTTCAGTTATTAGTAGATAAAATTGAATAATTCAACATTTCGAAAAATTTCATAAGGTTATTAAATATTATTTATTGATGATACTTTTTTTGAAATTTAAAATTATAAATTTAAAAAAGTATACAGTATGCATATAAAACGAATTAATGTTTACTATTTATTGTAACAATTTAATCATTTTTTATAGTTAAGAAAATAAATAATAACATATAACAAATAACTATATAGCTAAATACTGCTCATCAAAAATTTCAAAAAAATTTCTGCACAAATGTTATACAAATAAAATATTCTAATAAATACTTTTGAAAATCATCTTCACTGAAAAACTGTAAACAGTCACTGAAAGACAACCATGATATCTACTGTGATTAGAATTTCAGTACTTTTTTATCCAACATCATATAATGCATGGAAGTACTGTACTGTAGACATATTGATTACAGCAGTATAGGAATCAGAATCTTTTTTGAATTAATGACATTTAATAATTATATATCAATGGGAGAGCAAAGGGGTTATAGTAATGATTAAATATAACAGGATCATAAACGGATT